TTTTTTCCCCCCCCCCCCCCCCCCCCCCTCCCGCATAACCACTCTCTGCGTGCCCCCCGAAAGGACACCACCCTTGGTTCCTGCAGGACCCGTACGAGGAGGAGCACCGGATATGGACGCCGATTCCGAGGAAGACGCGCCTCCGCTGGCTGGCCAAGATGGGCCACTGCAAGGTGAGACAATGCTGCGCTGCTGCTGCTGCTGCTGCTACCACTAGCGAGGAATTTGTCACCCATGATATGCATAGAATGATCGACTTTTGTCGCCGGAGGGGAAAATGCCGTATATCGCGCGCATCAGATATTCAATTCTTTTCAGGGTGTTTCGGAGGCAACATGAGGCCGTGCCAAGATATCTGGGGCGAACGAAAAAAAGTTCAATCTCGCCGCGTGGCTCCAGTGCTGAACTCGCTTCCACGGCAGGCAACCAAACCCTTTCCGCGTTTTTTTTTCGAGAAGAATCAGCAACCAACCCGTTGGATGTTTCATCGACGCATCGACCCGTCCGTTTTCGCGGGAAGACGGAAAATTACACTCACCGCGCACCATCGGCAGAGCGCTCACCCCCGGGCCGGCATAAAGCTTTGTTGTTGTCTCCCAATTTAAAATCGTTTCGGTCTCTGCCCTGTACGTCCGACGTCCCGTACTGGTCCAACTGACGCGAACGCCTTTCGCGGTCACAGGCCAACTGTGCACGAAAGCGTGGTACACACTTTTAAGAAAAGTCAATTGGACGGTAATGATTCAATGAAGCGCATTTTTTTTACACCGTTTGTTTGTTTGTTAGGTGAAGTTCATCTTTTCCGGCCACTGCCACCGCAACTACGAGGCCAGGGTGAAACGGCCGATTGCCGTCGAAACGGCACCGCGACCGACTCCCGCGGCCGCCGCCGCCGCCACCGCTACCCCCGACAATAACGCCGCATCGGGCGGAGACCCTGCCCGCCCTCCCGGCGACGTCCCCGGGCTATCACCACCTTCGTCATCTACAGGGGGCGCCGTGGATTCCAGCTCCGGCGATGGTACCACGATGACGGCGGCGGTAAGCCAAGAGGGGAGCGCCTTCGTTGATGATGATGCGGCGTCTCGGCAAGCGGTGGTGGACGTCGGGGGGGAGGGCTCCGAGGATGATGGGAGGGACGGTGGTGGTGGGCAAGGGGAAGCTGAAGACGCGCCGGGATCGATCTCGGATGATGATGAGGTATGTTCAGGGAATCTGCTTTTGGTGCCAGGTTCAGTGCCAGGCACAGTTTTTTTTTTTTTTTCATGGGTGTGCTTGCCGGTTTGCTGGATTGGTCAGCTCTTGGTTTGTGAGTACGTGTGTGTTGAACCCGTTTGACCAACCCGACGCTGTTGTTGTTGCTCAACTCAAGGGGCCCACCACCCCTACCTAAGCCTCTCCCCCCCGCCGACCGACTCGGAGTCTTAGTCCTGTTTTAACGATCTCCCCACAGCATTGCGAGATCCATGCAGAACATGCCACCACGTGGGAAATTTGGAATTTTAGAAATCGAGGGTTCGACTTTCACAGCATGAGTAAGAACTTGCCCTACGCGCGCGAGTTCTGTAGGGATCGGATCCGCATGCAAAATCCGCTGACCTCGCTCGAAATTCGGGCTGCAACACATTGCTCCGCTGACGGCATGCTGTCCAAGCACTTTTTGCCCTCCTCCCCACCCCCTGCCTTAATCCTTTTTCGGGCTAACACATTACTCCGCTCTCCTCCCTCGCACGATCGATTGTCGACGCTCAGGACACCGATACATCGGAGGCTATCGACATGCGCAGCGTCGTGACGAGCTCGAGCGGAGCACCTCTCGGCCCCGATCCCCCCGGGTTTCGAGTGGTGCGCGTGTTCTCGCGGAGAATAGAGCACGAGTACTTCGACATCGATGCTCCGCCCCAGGGGATAGACCTTGGAGGGGATTTGTGATTTTTTTTTTCGTGATTTTTTTCTTTTTTTTGTCTACTTTCTTGTTGATGGTTGTCCTTGTTAATGGTGTTGCTGGTTGTTTGATAGCCGTGGTGGCCGTATTATTTTTAGGGGACCGAAGGTTTTGTAGTAGTCTGTTAAGTTGTGGTATTATGGTAATTTTGTTAGAGAGTCGGCACCCCCCCCACGCTGCTTGCGCTGTTGGTTGTTTTTTTCTTACTGAGTATTTTATTTCAAGTGGGTAGAGAGCCTTGCATGTTTGGTGAGTAGTACTGCTCGGCTAGGTGCGTCCCCACGCTGCTGCCCTGTTGGTTGTCGTTTTTTTTCCTGCTGAGTATTTTATTTTTAATTGGGTAGAGAGCCTTTCGTGTTTGGTGATCAGTAATGCTCGGTTAGGTGCGTCCTATTGTCGCCTTTAGAAGGCGTGTCAGAAGAAAAAGAACAAGCCCCCACTTGTTCCTCTCTGCGTGGTGATAGCACATCGGTCAAATGATATTTTGTTGATTGTTTCAGACCCGTCGTGGGAAAGCCGTAGTCGGTGTGGAATAGCACGGCTAATGTTCTTGATTTTTTTTTTTTTGTCATAATTTGTAGTTTATGGGGGTGTTATTCGACCCTCGTTCTTGTAGAATTTTTGTGTAAATTACTGTGGTACTTGAAGTATGAATTATTCGACAGGTTTGTTTGGTGTGTCACCGAACACGGGTCAACGAAGCCCTGCCTCGCTATCCCATATATTTCGGGGAGCCCACCATCTCATGACGCGGATGGAGACGCCCCCCCCACACACCCCCCCCGCCAGAGTCGAGTATTGTGGTTCGTCATGCGGGACACGAAACAAGAGGAGCTAGGGGGCCATGGTTACGACGCCACGCATCTGCTGTTCCGTGTCGAGTATCGATCGTGAAGGTTTCTCGACGTCATTCTATCGCACTACGTGATGCGATGTCGATGTGACCTGTACGCTCATGGGTTTCTGCCAACCCCTCCTCGAAATGACATTTGAATAATGATGCAGTATCCCAACTGACCGTTTTTTCAAAGCGGTGTTTTTGGGTCCGGTAGCAGTTCCTCTGACCTCACGACTGCTACGCGCACCAGCCTGGACTATTTTATCTGTGGATGGATGGAGATGAGTCGGTCTGTTTTCGTAATAAAAGTGAAAATTTCATATCAAATGTCGGGATCTTGAGTAATTGATGGGACCCACTTCTTCCCCCGCACGCGTAAATCGTGAGGAGGGTGAAACATATGTTCGGCTGGATCGACGTTGGGATTGTGCGGGTTTCACGGTGAGACCTTCCCTCAAGAAGGGGAATCCTTCTTGGTGGACCTGTTCTCATGTTGTCACAAACTGCCACACACACCCCGGATCAACTGTGGGAGAAGAGAGATCTATCTCGTGGGAGGCCAAGTGGTGGGCCAAGTCGGTCTTCCTCGGGGGTACAGAATAGTTTTGCAACCCTCCCTTTTTTGTGCAAACGCAAGGATGATGATCGGCTTCTTGTGAAACGTAGCCTGGGCGGACAGAAACCCGGATGTCGCCCGGCGTTGTAGGGATGCGAGGTCAATGGTGGTCTGGGGCGACTGCGGGATGCGTTTACGTGAGTACACCCTCCCGTTTGTGTGCTGGACTTCCCCGGTGCGCGTCGGAGGTAACTGTAACATTGACCAGATAGCGGCAGAAGGATTGGCAGTGAAAAATGAATCTCAAGTACTAGGGACATGAGCCTTTTCAGCAGTGTGGTCTCCACGCAGGTCCTCTTATATGTGCGCAGTGTAAACGCACAGCAGTTCCGCCGGTGGTTTTGATTTGAATCCAAAAAATGCTCAGAAAATACTCTCATCATCACAGCAAGACTACTGTACCCGCACCTGATAGTTCTCAGAGGAAATGAACGCGTTGAGATCGTCACACAGCAGTATGAACCCTGCTGGAGTCAGTTTGGGTGCACCAGCCGCAACCTATAGCACATCGTTCCATTCTTGTTCACTTAAAAAGACCCCCTGAAAATCTCCCCGCACTTCTTTGACAACGCCGCACAAAGGTCAACCCGTGAAAATCGCAAATAATTTAACCACGAGACACAACAGGCTACACACATACTCCTACATTGGTATATCGTAGATCGCAGCAGCTGCTCACATCACAACAGTTGTAGCGGCGCGGGGGTCAAATTGCTTTTCGTCTACAACGACCGACGATTACAGAAGGTACCACGTCCCCTGGACCGATTTTCAAAGCTCGATTACCTCCACAACGAGGATGCATAAATGAAACGGCACGTTTTCGGAAAGCCCTCGAGGAGATGGCTCCAACGTCGCCATTTTCGGCATCGCCACTCTCTCTGCTACGGAGAAATCGAGCTCTGAAAATCAGTCCAGGGCGTGTGACTTCTTCTCATCTGCAACTGTAACTTCCGGGCAGGCTTGGTTCGGGTGCCACGAGAGGGGGGGAATCAGCCTAAGTCCCCCTACAGCAGTACCAGTACGCCCAAGCAATGACCATGATGTCACTGTCCTTGGCCATCGCGCGGTCGCTAGGAAAAGCGACATTTACGGCGTCTGCCTCATTGTGGGTTCGCCGGTCGAGGTGGGAGGCCTTCAGCATCAGTCACCTCTCTCCTCTCCCGCGTCCCTCTCTGCCGAATGGCAGGGCTCCGTTCTCTGAGTACGGCTTATCACGAACCCCCCTCTTCCCCATCGCAAACACCCTTGAGAGTCGGGCATGATCGACTGCTACGCACATCACCATGTCTTGTCCGCTGCATGGGATTCTCCTCTTCATATTCTTGTCCCCCGCCCCCTCCCGCAACAACAACCCCCCGCGTACGCAAGGAAGTAAGCACAAGATGCCGAACACCCTTAACAGGGCGCAGCGAGCCCTTCATGCGACTCGCGGAATTCCTCACGGCGCTTCGCGCTTGGTGATGTGCTAGCCTGGTCCGGTGAGAACCCGGCGTGCTCCGTCCCGGCTTTGTAGGGATGTGAGGTCAATGGTCTAACGACTACGGCTTGCACGACTGTGAGTACACCCCCCCACCCCATCCGGAGGGGGCCCCGTCGAATCGCGAGTTCATGTTTTGTTTGGATTCAGATATACCTCATTCGACTCTCCCTGCAAAAGATGCCGACAACAACAACCCATCCCCAACTACTGCTATACCACCATGAACAACTGACCTCCGTTTTCAGGACTTCGTCTTGCATGCTTTTCGTTCAGATTCGCCTCCTCCCCTCCAAAAACAACTACTGCACCTCCACCCCGACCCTAAGTCTGTGACATTGGCTCAGACGACAGATCTCTGTTCTCTACGCGCTTCTTAGACTCCTCGACGATGATCTTCTCCAGCTCCTCCACGTCCGTGCTAGCTTGCCGAAGCATCGAGCCCGTCGGCGAAAAATGCCTGTCGATCGACTCCATCACCCTGAACGTGCTGTCATCCTGTTAGCGGGGGGCAGGCGAAGCGGGAGGGTGTGTGTGTGTATGCTCATCGTCGTGGTCATTAGGACATTGACCTCACATCCCTACCGGAGCACGCCGGATTTCACCGGAGAAGCCTATTTAGCACATCACCAAGCGTGAAGCCCCGTGAGGTTTTGGGCGAAGGGGGGGGGGGGGGGGTGATATTCGATGTCACGCATGGGCCGTACGTAGCCTGCAGACTATTGCCATCTCCGAACGTCGGTTTGACGCGCCAGACAGATCACGACATACACCAAAAAAACAAAAAACACATACAAGGTTGATATTATATAAAGGAAACAAGATTGAATTATAAAAAAAATGAAAAATGAGGTACACACAACAAGAAATAAAGGGAACAAAACACATGAGGTTGAGATTAAAAGAAAAAAGAAGTGAAGAAAAAAACCAGCACCAGATTGAATAAAAATAGAAAAGAAATGAAACACACACACACAAGATGGGAAAAAAAACGTGAAAAGCAGCGCGGCAAGAAAAAAAAAAACACGTACACTATAAAAAAAATAAAAAAAACGACGAAGGAAGATCTCACCTGAATGAGGTTGATAGCCACGCCCCTGCGGCCGAAGCGCCCGGTGCGGCCGATCCTGTGGAGGTACGTGTCCGGGTCGGGATCCTGCGAGTAGCCCATCGTCGGCATGTCGTAGTTCACCACCAGCGACACTGCAGGCACGTCCACTCCTCTCGACAGGACATTCGTTGTCAGCAGCACCTGCGAATCGAATCGCAAAAACGCGAAGCGTGCGTAACGTGCCAAAGTCAGTCGTAAGACTTTGCACTATTTTGTGATTCTTATTTTCTTGTTCGTTGAGGTTCGCTGGGCTGTTCGAGCGTTCGAGTCAAAAACACCACGTCAGTGCGTGAGCTGTTCGAGCTTGAGAAACGTCACTGATGGCAGCTGGCGGCTGATTCACACCAACATGTTTTACTTTCATCTTGCATCACGCCCTCGACGACACTACTACAATGCTCTGATGAACCCACTCCCGAGCGCGCCTTTACGTATCGACGATTTGATCGTGGCTTTCGGACGGGTGATGTACACCGAGCGGGGGCGGGGTGCATTCTTTCGATTCGGGGAACCTTCACAAAATAAATAAATAAATAAACGCGTACAGCAGTAGATATTGTAGCGAGCCGCTGCCCAAGAAGTCCACAAGATATGCGTATGTATACTGGGAAAGAACATCCGAGGTTACCTTCGCTTGCTTCGAAACCCAGCACTTGAGCACGAAAATGGTTGCTGTTGTTGTTGTCTCTTCACCTTCCGGTATCCGCTACTTTGCTTTGCTTTGTCTTCACTTCAAATCACTAGTATGTATAAGGTTGGGGACTGGACCAGTAGGTAATGACAGCACTCCTGTACTGGACAGTTTCCTAGAACTGGCTCAGAGGGGGTGCCAGTACAGCCAGTACTTCCGCATGTTACGTACGTCCCACACAATGCCTCCTAAACCACATGGAAACCACCAAACTGCGCCGCATGAGAGGGTGAGAGAGGAATGCAAGCACGAAGCACACACGCCCGTACTCGAGGGAAGGTGCAACCGTGCGATCGATGGACTAAATTGTCACTAGCAGCGATGTGCCTGTCGCACACCCGGGCGGCGGGCCTCAGAGTCCAGAACCCGCCGCGGCCTCGAACAAAAAAAAGCAGCCGGGCCTTTTTTGACTCATCATTTAGAACAGCCATAATTCAGTATGCATATGTAAGAGTCAATCACGTTTTTTCTCCCCAGCAAAAGATGCAGGCTGGCCACCAACAGCGTGATCTTAACTAATTGCCTTCCAGTTTTGCTGTCTATATTGCTGAAAAATAAATCCAAACCCAAAACAAAAATCGAAGCAAACAAATTTTGTCGGAAGAAAAATGAGCACCACCTTGTGAAGGCTTTCAAGTTCAAGATGGTTTAGAAGCAGCTTCATGGTCAACATGTTAAAATCGATGCGAGTGTCACACAACCAAAGCTACATGCTAAATCCGATGCGTGTTGTCACACCCCACCAACGCTCTTAAGAAAATTTTCTTAACATATTTATCATTTTTCAAGGATTGAAGGATTAGATCCCTGACTCTGGCGTCGTCAAAGTGACCCAAAATCACCCAAAAAATATGTTCTAGCGAAGCCAAATCGCGTTAAAACGCGCCTCCAGCGGGGCGCCTCCGGCGGGGGCCCCTCACCAGCCGGGGGGGGGGGGCGATGGTCGCGGCTGTGCCCCGTAACCAGTGCATTGATAACGTCCAGTAAACTGGCTGCGTGCCCCAACCAGTATTCCGGAAAATGGCGCTGCGCCCCAGTCCCCAACGCTATAATAGGTTATGTACCTTATGATGTCGGTACTGGTCCAACTGACGCGAATGCCTCCCGTGGCCACAGGCCAACTACCCCCAAGAGGGGTATGTTGGAAAAAATAATCGTTACCCCAACAGTCACCTTGTTGTGGCCCAGGCGAAACTGTTCCATGGTGGCGTCTCTGTCTACCCCATCCAGGGAGCCGTGGAGGACCGAACACGTGAACCCTTGCGCCTGTCACGCAAAAAAAAAAAAAAAAACGATACACAGAAATTTACAACACCAGCAGTGAGAGGGAAAGAAAACAATAAATGAAAGAGCGAAACAAGCTAGTGAGCCACACACAACGAGAACAACAACATCAAGAAATGGAACGCCAGAGCGTAGGCCGCGGACGAACCAACGGTAAGGTTGGTGTGGTGTGGTACGGGATGGGATGGAATGGTATACCTGCAGCCTCTCGTTGATCACATCGGCTTCCCTCTTTGTCCTGCAGAAGATGATGCTCTGACCCATCTCCAAGACGTCATACAGCTCCTGGCAACACCGGCATCATCACGACGTGACGTTGTCAAGCAGCGTCCGTCGAATCATGCATGCACGCAACAACCAAGTGCAAGAATTTTTGCTAAGCTAAGCTAAGCGAGCGACAATGACACAAGCAACAGCAAAAAAAAAAAAACAGAAACGTCAACAACGACGACGACAGCAGCAGCAGCAGCAGCAGCAGCAACAACAACAACAATGCACGCATGCACACAGCAAACCAATACAAAAAGTTGCTGAGTGAGTGCTTCACACCAAAGCCAAACAACAATGACAGAAGCAACAACAACAACAGCGCACTACAGCTAGCTATCTGTGTTTCCCCGCGCCGTCGCTCTGAGACCGGAAATTCGATGACATGAGTCGGAGCCCACGGCACAGCCCCCACAGGCACCGCCACACATCTGCAGGAAGAACATGACAGCCCATTGGTTGTCAACGCACAGCCGCATCGACACGACGGCGTCACGAGTCAGCCGGAGCCGCCAAAAGCACAGCTCTTGCTGGCTCGACTTACCTGGATGAGTTCGAGGCGGGACTGTCGGGTGTGCCTGAGGTCGATCCACAGCTGGGTGATCACGTCCAGAACCAAATCCTGATCGACAAACACCGACGGTTGTATGGACACCATGTTACAACCACGTACGAAGGAGAGAAGGCAATAATGCTAGTGTGAGGGTCAGTACGTTTGCGAGGTCGGGGGGGGGGGGGGGGGGGGGGGGGGGG